CTCTAGTAATATATTTACTGAGAAAAATGGTGACGTGTTTAATCCTTATTTTACCCGCTGTATGTATCCTTTAGTTATTTTCCAACAGTTTTATTAAAAACCATCTTGTGGTTAATGAGATATTTTGCAAACAGTGTGTGTTCACTCCAAATGTTAAAGCTAAAGTTTCAAACACAGGTTTGACACAATCATTTAGCGTATAAGTTGGCAATCAGTCTCAGCTACCACCACAACAAAYTGTAGCTCAATATACGTAAAACTGGCCGAGTTGGTGCAATTTTTTTGTTTGCTAAAATCACTTTGCGGTGGCAGCCATCTTGAGCTTAGTTGACGCCATAATATTATCTGTTGTGGATGCTAATTCAMTGATTATGTTCTGTAAGATTTAAACAAGTCTGTTAAAGTGATGGTTGAGAAATGTCGCTAATTGCACAGACAAAACAAACAGGAATGAACAAAAACATTATCCTTTGCCTTTTCCTTGCATGAGTCATCTTTAATATGCGAGTTAGACAAGAAACAGATCCAAAAGATAAAGCCGTTCCTCGTGGCTCAACAAGTCTTAAGTGTCTTAAAAACAACTTTATTTTCCATCAAATGTTTTCATTCTGTAACATCTGCAGTCTTGCGAAAGGGAATAGATTTCCCATCTGTCCAMATTATTAGAAGTGAAGTCATTTTCAACTTTTGTGTTTTTTTTCACCTTTCATACTTTCTGATTTAATGAGCAAAACTGTGAAAACCATCAACACGACACTCACTAGACATAGCTAAATTGTCATTTTGCGTGTTTGGACAAGGTCCTTTTAGTGTGTATTAACRCCTATATGTGAGTGAGGAAGTAGTGATAAATTCATCCTCACATCTGCCTCGGTGCACAGCGTGCATATTTGTCKACACATTTTTCATGTTCCTGCAAGTATATTGGTGGAGGGGGTACAAATATTCMTGAGCATTCAGGCTCAGCTGTACATCCATCCCATAGGTACAGTTTGAAGCCTGCCAAACAATTTGTTAGGTAAAATAAAAGGAGAGATTTAAAAGATTTCTGCACCGGTTTCAGTCCAGTATACACATCACAAACCTACTGAGATGCAGATGTAATGGGTTGAGCTCTTGCCTAACGGTGCACTGGGGTTTACAGCACACTGTTGGCCTTCTTGGTGATTCCACTTCCTACTGTTGAGCTCCCTAAATAATCACAACACCAGACAGAAAACAGAGACRATAAAAAAWAGACTCTAAAATGATGTGATGTCATWGTTTTTCTAATCTYGATTCAAAGATYATCTTATCATKTGTCAAACTCAAGGCCCACGGGCCAAATGTGGCCCTCCACTGCATTTTACGAGGCCCRCAAGAGCTTCAAAGATGTATTCATGTTTTAAAATAAGCTGCTTTAAAGWCAGCATTGACCATAAACTACATCTCCCATAATGCATGTTGATTATTTCACAAATGAAATGACAGCATCCCACCACTAGGTGGAGAAACGCAGGGTTCAAAAGTAGCTGGCAGGGAGCCGACAAAATTTGTCGTGTTAAATCTTCATTTGGCCCAGTCCCAATGTTGTCTGCACCCCTCTGTGAAGTGTGGATTCAGTTGAAGTGCACGAGTGTTATAAGTGCGCAGGTTACAAGCGTGCAAAACAATTGAGAATTGGGACAGTACGGATT